CTTCTTTGTGCCGATGCAATAATTCTCTATGTATTCAGGCCAGTTCAGCTGACGCACGTCAAAGTTAAAGGTCTGAGGGGACAAGAAAGAGAAGGATGTTTAAAAGTTCCAAAAAGACCTGGAACCTCAATCAAGTTCCAACTTTTAACACTAGATGGAGCAAAAGTCCACGGTCACAGTTTCCTGTAACAAGAATCATTGCATTGAAAGCCAATCAGAATCAGTTTTTGACAAATCAGGAAACTTCTATATTAAATAAGTGTGTATATATATTATATTATATTTAAGCACCTAAATATAATAATAACATATATACATGCTATTGAAAATAAGTGAAAAAGGTGCATGAGTTTGACATTACTTATACTTAAAACTAGTGCATTAGTAGATTTAAAAAAAACAAAACTAACAAGTGTTAATGTTATTGTGCATGTTGTTAAGTGTTAGCTTTAACGGCTAGTTAATTTAACAAACTATTAGACTAATTAACAAATTTCATTTTTCCTAACGATTATTGGCATTTCAAGAGAAAGTCAATGGATAGAACAAGATGGAGGCGATGGAAAAAACAAACAAACAGTGAAGTATGTTGGGTCGTACCTTCCTGTCCTCGGGTGTGAGCTGGCCCATCAACATGCTCATGTTGTCAGAGTTCCACACCCAGTCCTGGCTGCTGAAATACTCCAGCAGACTGATGGCCTTGTGCAGACGGTTGAAGATGCGCATCATCCTGAAACGAACGGCCGGGAGTCAGTGAAGGTCACAGTTTCACTTTGTCTTATTGGAACTGAATTGAATTAAGGACGTGGGACTCACTGTGGCTTCTGTCCACACAGACGCAGGAAGAGGTCGTAGATGAAGGCGGGGAACTTGTGGCTGACCAGGATCCAGTACTGGTAGATCAGGTAGTTGGAGGTGATGTTGGCGTTGGGTCTGCGGAAGGCCTGCTCCAGAGGGTTTCTCTTGAAGGTTGACATCACGTGATGCTCTGCAAAACAAAAACAAACAAAAAAAAACAATTTAGAAGAAAGTCAGTTGTGACAAAAATTCAAAATAATGTGCATTTCTTTTTTCATTTAGCTGTGCAAATGTGGGACATGTTTTAAACATCAACTAAAGTGATATATTTTATGGCTGCACAACATTATCAGTTCCTGACATATTGGCAGTAGATAATGTAGCCTTTAGTCGATAAGACAGACACAAAAGGTCATAAAAAGGTCATTATTTCTAAAATATAAAAATTATTAAAATAATCTATCATCTAATGTTAAAGAAGTCTCCTCCTTCACAGTCCATGACGATGGTCCAGGTCGCTATCTAACTGTTTTTGAAACATCAGGAGATTTAGCTTCTCCTGCAGCGTCACTGTGAGGCCACAATATCTCATCTCTTAGCGCAACGTTTCCAGCATGTTGTTAAATCTACAGCCTGACAGCTTTAAAGGGTGAACAAAGTGGAACCTCCTCCCAGGAAGTGAACCTGATGAAATGTGGGTGTGAGGACGAACCGTTAGTCATTTTCTTCACACCGACTTTCAGCCCTGCTTCTCTGACCTGTCATTTTCTCCCATGGTGCATTGTACAAAAGCCCTCACCCCCCCCTCATAGTCACGTGACTACACATGACATCATACATGGCGTGCAAACCGAGTCTTGCACTGTTTGTTTCCATGGCAACAGATATGTAATGGCTGCAGGGAGGCGTGATGAGCAGATGTGAGGTGACAGCCAGCTGCCGGTCGGGTCGACCGCAGACTGCTGTCCAGGACTGAGACCAGTTTTTATTTAAATGTCCACCATTTACATTCTTTTCTGTGTTTGAACAGAGCAGTTCAGGTCAGAACATGAAACTCAGACCCTC